GAGCACTGAGAGCATCGAGAGCTTACTGGGAGACAACTGGAAGACAAGTGGGAGACAAATGGGAGACAAGTATAAAATAATGCGGCCAGAGCACTGAGAGCATCCAGAGCTTACTGGGAGACAAGTGGGAGACAAGTGGGAGACAAGTGGGAGACAAGGGTGAAATCATGCGGCCAGGAACACAAGCGCGGAGACAAACTCAAAATCATCCGGCCCGAGCATGCACCCCTTTAAAAGGAGTAAGAACCCCTCACAGGTAAACCTGTTTGGGGAACAAGTGCAACAAGTGTAAAACCAGCAGGCCAAGAGCCTCCAGCCAAGAGTACCCAACCAGGGGACAAGCAAAGAGACAACTGTGTCAGATGTTTCTAGAGGCAGTCCAAGACAAGTGGGAGACAAGTGTAACAAGAAGAGAGACTAGCAGGGAGACAAGTGTAAAAGTTTTGTGGCACTGGCTAAGAGTGTCTAAGCACGGAGACAAGCGGCCAAGCGTATCCGGAATAAGCCGAGACAAGTGGAGACACGCGTAACGAGAGATAAGCAGGAAAACAAATGTAAAATCATCCGGCCGAAACATCCGGCCAAGTGTATCCTGAGTAGGCCGAGACAAGCAGGAGAAGTGGAGACAAGTGTAAAAAGCAAGAAGCGAAACAAGCACGGAGACAAGCGGGAGACAAGTGCAAAATCATCCGGCCAAGCGCGTCTAAGCAGGGACCGAGACAAGTGGAAGACAAGTGTAACAATCACCCAGGGTGGGGAGACAAGTGGGAGGCAAGGGAGACAAGGAAGACAAGTGGGAGACAAGTGCAAAATCATGTGGCCCAGAGCACCCAGAGTGTACTGGGAGACAAGGGAGACAAGTGGAACTGCAACATCATGCGGCCAAAGCAACCACAGTGTGGCAAGCCCGGAGACAAGTGTAAAATCATGCGGCCCGGGCATGCAACCCTTTCAAAGGAGTAAGAGCCCCGCACAACTAAACCTATTTGGGGAAAAACAACTTTATGCCGCATTTATGCCCCAAAGAGAGGAGTGCTTACTCAGTCAATTCACTTTGACCGATTCTCTCACAATGCTGTGTTAGCTTCAGATGTCCTCTGCAACAATTCGTTTTGGCCTTCAGTGCATCAATTTGTGCTAAGTCCTGGCCACCTGGAGCAAAACAGTTTATTATATGTGGTTTTAAATTAGCGCCCTTTAAAGCCGTTACTAAACTACCAACATGGCCGATTTTGGTGTAGCTTTTTTAAGGTTCCAAAACAACCCTAACTGCCCACCTCTGTCCACCCTGTCTATCCACCATGATACGCCGCATTTACACCAGCAGGTGTTCCTTCCCCCAATGGCACGGACTCACCTTTCGAAGGCTTTAGTTGTTAGTCTAATGAAGAATCACTATCTTGATAAAGGAGGGGAAAAGGAAGACCCTTCGATCTGGAGTGTTTTTTTTCATTTTTTTGGCCGAGTTTAATAGAGGATTTATATTATATAATTCTCCTGGGTGACGGTGACTTTTTGGTAATCAATGATTCAAGGATCCTCCCACTGACCCTATTTTGGACAACCCCGATTTCAGGGACCCCCATTTAAAAAAAGCACCCGATTGTGTGTCAATAGGGGGGGCGTGTTTTTTAATAGGTGGAAGGGATTAAACCTTTCCCATTGTAAGTGGTCAGTAGCATCACATGGGACAACCAAAAGTTTGGTAGGACCATTGACAATTGAGGTTTTGTCAGCAAACTCCCATGTCCATCCCCCCCCAAAAAAAGACTCACTTGCTCAAAGCCATGAATAAAACAACCCACCGAAACCCACGCGAGCCACGTTGCCTGCATGGGGATCTTGGCATCTGGAGTTGAGATCGAGAGCCATCCGAAGAGCACGAACGTGGCCAGCGTGAGTGCGCACAGAGCCCAGCGGAGCGGAGCGGCGCGGGCCCGCGCGGCCTGCGGCGCGAGAAACGGACGAAACCTGGGAAGGTGTCACAAGGTGTCTGCTCCCTCACTGAGAAATGGATGTGTTCCGGGTCGAAAAGGGAGGCAAATCCGCACAGGATGTCTACAGGGGCTCGAGGATTACGCAGAATGTGGGCACCACGAGGGGTGGACGACATGTAGGGAAATGGTGAATGAATGGTGAATTGGGAAACCTTCCCTCCCTGTGCATACCACGTGCCAAAGTTGCTAAAGCAAGAAGAATTGAAGACCTCAGCCAGCTGACGCTACCTTGTGTGACTTGGCGGCGGCGTCAAAGAAGCAAAGAAGCAAAGCAGCAGGAGAGCAAAGCAGAAAAACATCGCTGCAAAGCGAAGCAGCGAAAGCAAATCTACAGAGAAAAGCAATGACTTGGGGTGGCCATTTCGGGGGAAGTCTAAAGCCCTTGAACTGTTGTGCAGCCAAATACTCGCCGCTTCAAAGCAAGAACCTCGCTGTTGGATCGAATCGTCGAATTCCCGCCGGACACCGGTCGAAGTGTCGCCACAGCGTCGCCACAAGTCCCACCGATTCTGGATGCCCTAGAAGTCCAGTTCGATTATATGTTGACCGACTGAAGTAAAGGAAGCTCCTTTTCCGGTCACCCAGGACCTAGTCAGACCATTCTTTCTATAGTCTTTGACTCCCAGCTGATGGTCAAGGCACAACCCCTCGGGTGGCACGACCAAAACCGCAAGCCCTCGTTTCGTACCAGAAGCTGTCGTTGCCTGTCGTTTCTGATAACATCATGTTGCCATAAAAGCAGTTCTATCTGCACAAGAAGTCCCAACGAAGAGGATGCTGAAATGAGGACCCAGCAGGTTTTACAAATTGCGCGGGCAAGGGTGGGTTGGGTCACCCTTCACAATCCTTACTTAAGTCTCGATCTTCTTCAGGGAATTGGGAATTCTTGCCCTGAAGATAATAATTGCAAAAGCAAGGAGAACTCAGGTCGCCACCTTTCGTGACCTTTCTTTCGAGCTCATGAGGGGGACCACAGTGTGATGGGAAGCGGATATCACTCACACGACTCGACTCTGCACTTTCTGTCTCAAAGAATGACACGTCAGCGGTCCTTGCTACACAACTCGGTCAAATGAAGAGATTCTTCGGGATGCCAACCAAACCCATGCTTTGTAGGGTCACTGCGCTTGTGCACCATGTTCGGTCATATGCACCTGCCTCCTCAGGGCCCATTGGTCTAGGACCAGGTACAGAAAGGGGTCCAGGGTTTGTAGGGTGAGGTGTTCACCCACGGTCATGAAACCAATCCAAGCTTGAATAATAATTCAGCCCTGCTCGGACGTGCCTCTGAATTCAAGTCACCACGAATCAAGTCGCGTCCTTCTTCATCGGAGGTCGACATCTTCTCATTGTCTGCACATTGAAGGATGCTGACTGTGTCTTTTGTCCATGAAAGTGGCTCAAGCACCACCCCTAATGGCTTGGATTTCTATGATTCTACCTGGCCTCTCAATCAAATTCCAAAACTTACACGCCTACAGCAACTGCTTACCTCTCGAATGTTGTGCACCTACTCCGTTGAAGTTGTCCCATCGGAGAGTGTTTTCCAACTGGGTGACATGCCGAGTCCATCCATTCCCAGATCTGGCTGACTCACATGTGGGAGATGACCTCTACCGAGATCTCCCACACCTCTTGAGCCATGCGCAGACATGGACCGTGAATGGACCATGAACATGGACCCCTGTTTTTGTCATAGTCTCATCTACCGCCCAGTGGTTCAGGGTCCATGGGAGGCTCTGTAGGAGGCTCTGTCCTTCTACGTGGCCCTGGGTCCAACTGCCCCAGCTCCGTGGGCTTCACCCAGCTCCGAAGGAAAAGAGTCCCATCCTCCCAGACGCGTCTGCGTCCAGCCATCCACGTGCCGCGTGACCCGCGCCGTCCGTTGGTGTCGGGTCGACATGAACCAGCAACCTACGAAGCCAGGGACCTGGATGGGATGGAGGATGGGATAGTTGCTGTCCAGGAACCAGGAAAAAGTATTTAAAAAATGAACAAGAAAACGAAAGAAGAAAAGTTGATTTACCCATAGGCAGAATATAACTCTAAAACATAAACATAATACATCACCTTAAGCAAAACTAGGGATACGAAAAGACGATCCTCTTGACATGGCCCAAGCCTGGTCCAGTCCGAGCCCGGTCCAAAGCAGGATCCATCCGAAAGAATGTAATTGTTTTTCATGTTCCTGGGAAACCAAACAACCAGAAACAAAATGAAACAAATGGATGTTTCCCGAATCGCCATTTCCTATGTAAAGGATTTCAAGCAAGCCATATTGGAACAACCATTTGTTTCTGGTTGTTTGGGTTTCCAGGTTGATATGTTTGTAGTGATTTTGTAAGACCAACTCCAGTCAAATTGAGGGCCGTTCCTGACCTGTAGGCTGGTGAGTTGGGTCCAAAACTTGGCTCCCAAACACCTATGAGTTGGGTATATCCCATTCCCTGCAACAGTGGATGGTGATGATGATGATGATGATGATTATCGCTAGTAAAAGCCTTTCTCTAAAACAGTGATACCTGTTTACCAACTCTTTCAGGTCGTGGGACACGCCAAACACCTACGGGCTGACGAGGACAAGGGGCGCCAACACCTAGGGTGCCATGAGGATCACATGGAGAGGCGAGTTCAATGCGTTCGTGCGGGGAGACAACACAGAAATGCAGGGGTGGCCGGGATCGTCCAACGTTCGTCCATGGGCCGAGCATGGGAGTCCATGGGAGCTCTTTCAGGTTCACCAAGAACCGAAGGAGTTGAGCCCAAACGCGAAAGCAAAACCAAGAATCGCCCCACAAGGACCTGGACCCTTACTATGAACGTTACGGCCCATTTTCCGGTTGACTCGACTCTGAAGATTGGTCTAGTCTAGCAGATGTAGACTCTTGATCAAACCCCGCATGTGAAGAGGAGGGTCTTCATCAAGAGTCTACATGACCTGACCGTCACCCAAACTTGACCTTCTGGAGATACACTACTCGTAGAAGTGTCCCCTTTCAACTCCCGCCACTTCACTCCCCTCTCCTTTTTTCACACCGCCGAGACCGCCTGCCGAGGACCTGTCCTCGATCGAGAGCTGTGTCTTCTCGCTTCGTTGGTCGCTGGTCCGTCGCTGGTCCGTCGCTGGACGTGGAGGTTCAAGCGCTTTGGTCAAGACGATGGATTTTTGATGTTGGGTATATCCCATTCCCAGGGCCCAATGGATGAGGATGAGGATGAGGATGAGGATGAGGATGAGGATGAGGATGAGGATGATGATGATGATGATGATGATGAGGAGGAGGAGGAGGAGGAGGATGAGGATGAGGATGAGGGTGATGAGGATGAGGATGGTGAGGATGATGAGGATGATGATGACGAGGAGGAGGATTAGTCAAGACCCTTCCCAAACATAGTGATAATCTTTTACCAACTGTTACTGGTCACGGGACATACCCTAGGATGTGTGTTCAGCTGGATGAGGAGATAGAGCCAAGCAACAAGATCCAACGCCACTGGCGCCCACAATGGACCGAAATGCGACCACCGCACCAACCGTCCGGTTCGTGAAACATGGGACATGATGCGTCCCAGTGAGACTCTGAGTGTGCAAAAAAAAAAAGGGACCGTGCAAGGCATTGTTGCACGCACACCTAGTAAGGCATCGCTAGTGATGTAGACTGTCGATGAAAACACCCCCCCAAGATTCGTCAATGGCTTGAAAGCTCTCCACAGCTTGGGGGGGTGATTCATCAAGAGTCTACATGACTGCCCTTGTTCGGCAGAGTTTCTGCCCTCAAAAAAGCGGTCTTCATGCGGTCTTCAAGACCCGGCGCGTTCCACCAGAATGGAGAAAGTGAACGCCACCATGCCTCGCCGACTTCGGTTGAAGATTCATTGGAGAATAAGCCACCATAAGGAGAGAATAGTCCCTAAAAGCTATTATTTAATTTAACTCTATTTTTATTTCTAATAGCTTCTTGTTACTACTAGTAAGGCACCTGTTACTACTAGCGATGCACTTGTTACTACTAGTCCAAAGAAGTGAAGTGCACCACAATGTCAGCGCATCGTCTCCTATTTCAAGATAGAGAGACCTCTCATTTGGAAGGGAGGTCTAACCCCAACCCAATGGGCCATGGGCGGCCCAACCCGGGGTCTCCCTATTTTTCAATACACACGTTGACCACTCCCAAGTCTCCAAGGCGATTCCCGTTTCTTCAGGGTTCGTCAGTTCGAAGTCCATAGCGCCCGCCATTGGTCAACCGAAACGGCCGCGAGACCGGGCCTCAAAGTCTACCAAGATCAATGCCAGGTGCTGGAGCAAAAAAGTTCGTGTCAGCACCTTCTAAAGGATTGTAAGAGCGAGGATTGGGTGTTGCATCATAGCCTCAGACCGCAGACCGGGTAGTTCAGGACGCTCCGTACCCAGACGCAACCATGGATGGCAATGGCAAAAACCCTCTTCCAAGCCATATCTTGAAATCGTTTTGTGCCCGCTTTCGCCCGCTTTCGCCTCAAATGGAAAACCTCCAGGTGAAGGGTGTTAAAATTGAAATCGCATTCCATCTTCACTCAATCATTTTCAGAATGTGACATTCAACCTCCGTCAACGTGGCTCGTCTGTTGTTCATTCCCCGCACACTTGAGTGGTGCACACACTTGATTCCAAGGTCAAAAGGTCAGATCATCACCCGGTCTCACCCGGTCTGACCGGCCAATAGGCAGAAGACCAAGGGAGGTGTCCGAAGAACACTTAGAAGGTCTTCTCACCTGCTTAAGAACGTCTTTGGACCAGGCCTTTGGGTTTTTGCAGTTGTTTGGATGTTCTTTGATGTCCCCTATCCGAAACCACGGTGGTGTTGACTGAAATTCAGTTGCAGTCTTTTCTTCTGATCCCGAAAAGTAGCTCCTGGAGAGTGGTGTTGCATCAAAACCCTAGTAAAAACCCGGCGTTTCAACATCAGCTGAAAAGGGGCAGGGCATCCCTTTGAAGAAGGAGCAAAAGGACCGGGTGCCAATCAACAACCAGAAACGCAAACGTGACCGGGAGTTCGTGATTTGATATTCAGGAAATCAGGCAAATCCTGCGCTGAACAGACTTGTCCTAACCTTATTGCTTATATATATATATATACACTACATATCTAAATTTAGTAGCGATGCCCTTTGTTCCTAGTAGCTTCTTGCTCCTAGTAGCGCTGCCAGGAGCCCCTAGTAGCTTCTTGTTCCTTTATATGGAACGTTTTCCCACGCGACTTGAGCTCCAAAAGACCTACCACTGACACCTCCTCCGGATTGACGCCAGCTTCCAGCAGTTCGGAGGAGAGCACGGTCTGCACGGTGTTCGTGTCATAGCTGCTCAGGGTTTGGCACACCTCCTAGCGGAAAGACAGACGTCGACTCCCAGCGGAAAACTCCAACGTTTGTCCGGCTGGCTATCCACGGTGAAAACGCGGTAGGAATAGAGACGAAGGCGATCAGACGAAGGCCAGGAGCCCCTAGTGACTCAGCTCCAGTTCGCCAAGGGTCCCGTTGCCCCACGGGTGTGTTAAAGGACGTTCCGAAAAATGTCCAATCGCCGAACTCGTCAGGCAATCGTCAGTCGACTGGACGTCCCACGTTGCAACATCAACACCCCAGGCTTCCTGGCCCATCGAACCATTTAATAGACCTTACGGAAGCAACTGAGGATTCTACACTACAAAACCAGGGCAACCATTCTTTTATATTCATTTCATGTGTAGGGCCTGGTAACACCACGCAACCATGAAAAGGTTACAATTACCCTTTACATCTTGGATGTCTAGGGTAACACATCTTTCATGACCAACCACGGGCGACGGACTCGAGAACGCACGCCCGGCACGTCGCCCACGCGCCAAGGATGTGACAAGTGCTGACCGCCTGACCGCCTGAAGCAGTCGCAAGGAACTGCCTCCACCCATCAAGTCTGAACAATTGAATATCAACACCTCTAGCTCAGGAAAACAAGTAGGGGCAGGTGTTTTTTCTCCATGTCTTTCCACTCCTCTGCTGAGCTGTCTTCCACTTGCACCTGAAAGCACACCCCCACCATCGCTTGCAGTCTCCGTGCCACCCGCAGCATCGGTGTGGCCGATGGTCCGGGCCTCTCCATCGCCTGCGGTGTCCGATGCCGGGTCTGTTCGGTCGCCTCGCGCAGTTCACCTGGAAGACCTGAAAAATCTTGGCCCAGAAGGTCACCTCTTTGCGGAGTTGGGGGTGGGATAGCTCGCCCCGCTACGCAGCTACACCGTTCCGGTCTCAAACTTGGAGACCCCAGGGAGGCTACGCCGCTGGCTACGCCCTGCTTACGATGTGCTGCTTTCGAAGGATCCGAAGACTTGTGAGGTCGCGCGACCCGAAACTTGCAGTCCAGAGTTGCCAGGAAACACAGTTCAAGCCCATAAACCCCAGAAATCCAAAGACTATACTCTTCCTTAGTGAAGTAAAGGAAATTCCCTTTCGGATCCCCAAGCTTTATGGTCTTTGACTTCCAGGGTATACTTTCAGCATCATCAATGATCTTTCAGCTGTCTTTCAGCATCCCCCCAGGCTTCTAACCTTCGGCCCCTAAACATCTCGAAACATCTCGAAACCCTCTTCACCATCGGCTCGACGGCTCCTGCCGAAGCGATGGCTGCCCCGTCCCACTAGGCAGAGTCCTCAGAGGGTGCACTGTTCGACATCACCGATGCCGCCGAGGCCCGCGTGACGGAACCGAACTTGAAGCGAACGAAAGGTTCCTTCGAGGAACGGATGTGAGGAGTACGGGTGACCTCTCGGTGTTCCCAATGATAGCCAATGACATCCGAAAATATGAAAGGTGACACATCATCAAGGAATCATCATTGTTCAGTGGAACAATGGTCATCCCTCTGCTGTCACAGGAGGTGAAATCCACTCCATGATGATGGAATCAGGAGTGTATCCACTTTTCCAGGGTAAGGTTAGGATAGCATGACCTGTTGCCGGAATGTCGATCTGGGGACACGAACCGACGTCATAATGGACTCATCAAAGTATTGATTTTGCCATGGGATGAGGGTGGGTGTTCGTCATACCCAAATTGGCCAACTGCACCTGGAGGATTGACATCTTGCACAATTCCATGACCCAAACGACCCATGTATGGAAGATATGCCTACATTCGACCCGGGGTTGGTGTATGTACAAGTCCCGCATATCCGGTCTGAGTGTCGGTCTGGGTGTTGGTCCCTCTCTCTCTCTCTCTCTGAGTTGGCAGTGGATGAGCATGCATCGCTTCCACCAAACCCAGGAGTGACTGCATGTGTGGCTTAGCCTGTTGTATATACCCCATATATATACTATATGATATATATATATATACATACATATGCTACGCCCCTCTCCAAAACCGACATGTTCATGCGCGTTGCACAAGCATTGTACATAGTCAAATGGCCATGGTGCGTGGTGGATGGTCTGTTGTCTGCAGCAGTCTAGCAGAAGTGCAAGGATGTGTAAGAAACCAAAGCAGCAGATGGAGCACAAAGAGATGTTTGTGCAGTAGATAGACATGGCTCTGAAGTGATCTTTTTTGCAGAAGGCGCGCTGCATTACTGCAAGAGCCTAGCGGAAGTTCCTCATGACCCAATCGCACAATTCCCCAGACTTTTGCCACAGGTCTTCATCTTCAACCCGCAACTTGGCCCCTTCAAGAGTGTGGATCCCCACTCTTGGCCATGGTGTGAGCAAGTGACAAGCAAAGGAACTTGAAAAGTGGCAGCAACATAGAGTCGTAGAGTCAATGACTCAGAAGACATCAACAAGAGGGCGCCTCACTTGTCCATGTTCTGAAGTCACTTGCCAATTGAATGTATTGTACTTCAAAGGTCCTCAAAAGGCAAAAGCAAGAAGCAAGATGGCAAAGCATTCAGGGCCATCACAGTTTCTTACGCTATGCCTTGTGCTCAGAGCATGTGCACGCTGAGGGTGCTTTAAACAATCACAAAGCACACCACAAAGTTAGAAAGTAGAAACAAGCTTGCACAGCATTAAGGGACATCAACTGTGCTTTTGGTATTCCGTGGGTTTGCTGTGCAAAGTAAGGTTGCTTTGCAGCGTTTTGAAGTACATTAAAAGCAAGAAGCAAAAGCAAGATTGCAGAACATTAAAGGACATCAATCTTGCTTTTGATACTTTGTCTTAGGACTATGTGTCTTTTGGGGTGCTTTAAAGCGCTTTAAGGCACATCAAAACCAAAAAGCAAGAAGCAAGATGGCACAGCACTAAGGGGCATAAACCTTGCTTTATCATATGCTGCTTGCACCCCAAAGAATACCAAAAGCAAGATTGATGTCCCTTAATGGTGTGCAATGTTGCTTCTGGCTTTTGATGTGCTTTAAAGTGCCTTAAAGCACCCTCAAACTGCAAATAATCTTAAGACAGGGTATGGCAAAAAGAATTGATGTCCCTTAATGCTCTGCAATCTTGCTTCGTACTTCTTGCTTTTGGTGTGTGCTTAAGCGCTTTAACGCATTGATTGAGCAGATGTATGTATATAAATAATATATGTATATATATATATATATTCATGCAAATGCAAATGTATGTTCCCCCTCCACATCCCCAGGCGACAAAATTGTTGGTCCTGCGGGGGTGCCATATATATATATATATATCATATATATATACCCATCTATAAGCATATCATCCAAAATAGCGCAACGCGGTCAAGCTGTTCAGTCACAAAAAACTCCCTGAAACAAGCATGGAAGTCCTGGTCCCGGGAAAGACCCGGAAATCCGAATACAAAATAGGGAATTGTTCACTAGGCAGTTGGAGGAAGGGTATCATCCAATGACTGAGAACTTTCTGATGGCTGTTCAGCTTCACAGCCGGCACCGCAGACATGTCCGAAGTAGCCCCTGCCTGAGTGGGGCACGTATGCTGGGGCACGTACAGCTGGGGACATACACCCAGCGCAGGGCCCGTACACTGGCGCCTGGTTGAACCAGTTTGGGAACAACGAGACGTTGCAACCAGCACCATTTGGGGTCCGATATTCACTTGCTCCACCGCCCTTCCTGAGATAGATTGGTATCTTGTAAGTCCATTCATCCCAAACATGCACACAGGCTCGGACCCGCTGAGTGCTTTTGAGGCTTGATTGGCCAAGGGGTGTGCTTGGAAGCCAAGCTACACAGCTCTGCATGGAAAATGGAAGCTGTGAAAAAGTGGGTCAAAGTTGGAAGTGCCCATTCCCGTTCGACTTCCAGGAAATTCGACCTCCAGTTCAAAGTCCTTCGAAGTCCACCACCCCAGGTTCCAGGTTTCATGGCCTGTAACTGCGATCACCGAGAAGGCAGACCATGTTTCAAATGGTTTTCACTGGACTCCCAGGGGTATGGTTTTGTCCATATCTTTCCATTGGGCATCGCCCAAGTTGGGGGCACCACGGGACTATCACCGAGCGAAAGCGATAAGAAAGGATAAGAAAGGACTGCGATAGCTCACACTACTCTGCAGTCAGAGCAGATGCTTTGATCAAGCCTTTTTGTAGATCATCTCTCTCTGACAACACATCGAACCGCCTCAAAGCGAACTTTGATTTGCAAAGGTGTGGGACACGATCTGCTTTCAGTCTTTGACACACCCAGTGGCATTGGCACAGTTGATGATGAGCTCCACCATCGCTGCAGCAATTCCACTCCCAGACAGTCGCGCGATGGTGTCCTGCGACAGCAGCGCGTCACTCGCGCGATGACACTCGTGCGAAGGCAGTCCGCGATGGCAGGGACCTTAAGGTTCGTGCCCGAGAAGACATGAAACCTTATGAGGGTGCATCGAGCGGGTTCTTCATATATTTCCACTGTTTCAAGTGAATCCGCCCTGCCACCAATGACCCGGTTCGCCTTTCGGTTCGGTCCTTGAGCGCATTCACGACGTTGGGGTCTTGCAATGTGGCGGTATTTTGCGTTTGAAGCCTCAAAACAGAAGAGCTGTGCTTGGAGTCGACACCAAGCTTGCTTCCTTCAACCATTTGCTTCATTTGCCACAAAGATTTTGCGAAACCAAACCTCAACTGGCATCAAATTGCCACATGTATCAACGACTTCATGCCTTTCCTTGGCTAGTTTTGCTGGTCTGGGCCTCAAAAGCCCTTGCGCTGCCAAAGCCGCCACACCCGCCACTCCAGCCGCTCCAGCCGCGCCCGTGCCAGCAGTGCCCGTGCCGGCGCCGATGCCGGTGCCCAGGCCAACGCCCAAGCCAATGCCCAGGGCTAAGCCAGTGCTGACGCCCACACCCACGCCGACGCCTGGCCGCAGCCAACGTGCTGAGGCATTCCGAGCCGGACAAAGGAGGTCACGGGTGGATGAGCGAAGCGACGAAAATCAGAGACCTTCCAGAACATGGTCCAACAATTCCCTCAACCATGAACACTTATATAATCCTGTATACAAATTTGTATAAACAAATCAATAAATACATAAATAAATAATCATTCCCAGACAGGTTCCAATCCTCTAAAGCGCGGCCTGGTCGGGTCCGAAGCTTGTATAGCGTACAAGCTATTTGCGTTGGGTAGGCAGG